ATTTCTTGGAATGTTGTGCAGGTAAAATAAACCATAGTTACTTATAATTAGTGACAATTTGTACATCCTTTGCTATTATTTACACTTTTTTTTTTTCTCATTACGGAAATTATAGACTGTACCTGGCAGCCCTGCACTACAATGAAAACGCTGATCGTGCACAAGCCACTACATCCACTGGAAACCCTCTGTATAAACTGCAGTTCCCAAAGGCCAGGAAGGGAGAATGCAGAGCAAAACCCATAAAGACTGACCCCGCATTCCGTAAGTGTTTAAAATATTTATTATACAACTATTTACAACCAAAGAGTAGACTTTCATATAAATTCGGACGCAAGCACATGAAAAATAAATCTATACATCTATTGAAGTGCCAGTAACATTCACATTTTTTAAATGAAGTATGTATTCCACAACAAATTATAAAATAAAAAAAATAGAAACAACTTTCAGTGTTTTACATGCATATAAAAATCTAAACCAAATATTTTTTTTGCTTTTTTTAACATTGCACAGGCTACGTGGCCAACTTGATGGACCTCATCTTCGACCAAGTCTTTGTGGACCCTGCACCATTCACACAGGAGCTTCTGAAGATACCCATCCCAGAGGACCTGTGTTCCCAGTATGAGCGACCTGACAGGGAGGAGGTCATCGCCGGTTATGCTACACGGTTCAATTTGACTGTCTGAACCCAACATAGTTGTTTTGCGGATCAGGAAACTCCCTGTGAATCCTGAGGACAACGCAGGCCGGAATGACTACTCTGATCTTGCGTCCAAGGAAGCTCCAGCACCAGCTCACAAAGCTTCTGTACGCTAGATACCTGTGACGCCTGAAATAATTGCAAATAATATTTAGTGAAAAGCCTATTTAATTTATGTAAAATACCGGTGATTTTGAATAAAGTTCCGACAGTTTATATCAAATGTGTCATGATTATTCATGTTTGGATGGGTAAAGTATATGCTGCTTTCAAAAGCATAAGGTTGTGTGTGTGGACTTTTTTTGTCGTACACATGGGTGTGTTATGCCATTGCTGTGTAGTATATCATAATAGTAACGCCATGTACAATCAAATCAGGTTTTATTTATGAAAATGACAGAATGAAATGAAAGATTGCATAAAACCATGTACATCAGTATTTATTTTCATGGACAATATTAGCAGACGTTTTACAATTTCAGTCAAAACAAACAAACCACTCACTGCTGTATTTGCCTCATCTGTAGTCTCCCATGTTCAGCTCTGTATATATTGAAAGCATTCTGCAGGGAGAACACATTTAGGCACACAGGCTCCAAACCAGGATGGTCCACCATACAAGGCACAGAGTGCTCAAGTTCTTGCATCCGTCTTGACACCTAGTGTGATAAACATATTGAATGACATGTGAAAAATGTATTCTCTAAACAGAGAACTTAGTGAAGCTATCAAAAATGTTACCTGTGGTATCTCCATGCAGCACACATTCTCTGGTTCAGACGGCATTGCAGCGCAATTTGCACATGTACACCTGTAGAAAGAAGTCAATAACTGAGCTTTTAAAAACACATATGAAAATACACACATTGCTGACAACTGAGGTGTTTAAGCATCTGGAGTTATACTTTTTATGACCCTAAGTTATTGAACTTTCCAACGGTAACAGTTGTTGCACGATGTTGGAAGAAAAGGACTGTATATTATTAATAAACGCAATGAGGCCATTGTATATAAATGCTGAAAATATTTCAGAATATGACATTTTTATTTCCAAAATCACACGATAAATACATTTTTGAAGCTTGTAAAGGGAAGATGACAGCTCTCACTCGCCACTCTGCTGTTCCGCAGCGCTACTTCCCCTCCCTCCGGCTGAAATTATGAATGTAAGGCGTATAGTAATCATAGATAACACGGCAGGGACCGTTACAGTTTGTTTTCATCTGATTTCAAATAAACAAAGTCTTGGCTTTCAGAATATTAAACTTGTTTCGGCAAATTCAGATGGTAAATACAACTTTGAAGCTTGTAACGGCATAATTACAAGCGGAGACCGGAGTAACTTGACGTCACTGCAGGCATAACAACAGCCGGTGTTTCTCGTGAGTGTTTTCCCCGGGAAACAAACACAATATACACAAACGCAAAAATACACAACCACACACACACACACACACACACACACACACACACACACACTCGCGAGCTTCCCCCAGACCAGTAATCCAAACGAAAATATCTTCCCTCCGTACTACTCTGATCATTTATTAGCCGCTAATAATCAATCAGATCGATGGATTCCAGAGAAGAGGAAACTTTGAAGACCTTTTTCTCAAAACGATGACTCGGTGACAGTCATTATATAATGTGACATATTTTGCGTAATATTTGGAGTACAAAAACAATCCTGATATCATTAGAAAGCTAGGAATCTCCTCTTTCCAACAGTCTATACAACTCAAAATGTGTCTTCGGGTCAATGTGACTGATTTAGATGGAGCAGGTCACATATATTTTCTTGCAATTATACATTTTTTAAATTAGTATTAACAGTATTTGTTATGTATTTGACAGTGATATATACCCATAACAAAAGTATTTTTTAGTAAAATTACCGAAAATGCAGCTAATTTTGCCAACAGAAAATCATTTATTTTTACGGTTAGTTTTGTTAAATTCGCATTTAAAAGCTGCTAAAAAAAAAGATAAATGATGTATTCCATCTTTTTACAGTGTAGACATGTGGAGATTATCCGACTGAACAAAACGTGATCCATCTCTTAAATGTGTGTCAACCACAGACCTTATTTCGAGCTATTTTCCAAAATCCTATGGAGAAATTGCATTGCTTTTTTGTCGAGGGAACCGGAAGAAGCTTGCTTCCGGGTTTTAGGACGCGTCACTGTGGCACTCTATTCACTTTGGTATTTAGTAAGGTAAGGTGGGGCCAAACCATTAAGGGCCTTGTATGCAAACAATAACATTATAAAATCGATTCTAGACTTTATCGGAAGCCAGTGTAGAGATGCCAGTACATATGTAATGTGCTCACGCCTGCGTGTTCTCGTAAGAAGGTGAGCAGCAGCATTCTGAACTAGCTGTAACGGCCCCTACACACGGCGGCGTGCGTTGACGCTTCAACGCTTCTGCCCATTCACTTTGAATGGGGTGACGTCACGATTCGCTGAACTGCATTCTGGGAGCAAAGCGTAGCTTTTCTCGCGGTGCTCGCTGCAAAAGTAGAGCAATGTTCTACTTTTGAAGCTGAGGCGGAGGCGTCAGCCAATCAAATCCCGCGTATGCAAATCTGCCAGTACAAGCGCTAGCCAATCAAACCGCATGTATGCTGAGAGAGCCAGACCGCAGTTCATTTCCTCATATGCCAAAAAATGGAGGAGAAAATAATGGTAGCGGTAGGGAATCACCCGGTGCTTTCAGTCCCTGTTCACCTACCGGGATACAAACCGGAGGAGCCAGGCATGGAGGGAGGTGGCAGAGACAGTGCGTGAAACTGGTAGGTTTTCGCCTGTTCGGGGAGTTTATATCCAGTGTACTTCGTTTGAATGGACAGCAGGCATAGACAGTATATTTAGCCACCATGCAATGTTGCATAAAATAGCACCATAGACATTAATTAAAAATCGCTTTTTAGACATTAATGTCTATGGTGAGATTCATACACGGGAGCCTTTTTAAAGCCTTTTTACCCCGCTGCAAACAGAACCCCCCCCCCCCCCCCCTTCCCATCACAAACTTTACACAGACCCCCCCTTCCAATTATCAACCCCTGTCTTGTTTCCGCAAACTCTTGTGTCCTGCAGCAGCTAAAGGTTTTGCAAGCCCCCGTTCGTTTAGTACCTAAAATAATAGACATTGCTTTTTCCAGCTGACAAACCCGACTTTCTGGTCACTTCTTCAATTTTCCAGCCCTTGGGGAGAGACACGGGAGATTCATGTGATTGGTTGTTGGTCGCGTTGCTCGCGTAAACTCCCCAAGCTTAAGACACGCCCACCGCCAAGCGGCAACACACGCCGCCGTGTGTAGGCTGCGTAAGAGGGAGATGGAAGCGTGGCTAACTCCAACGTAGAGAGCATTAGATTAATGTGATGGAGTAGAACTTTCTTTGAAGAAATGCTAATTATTAGAAAAATAATATGGAACAATAAGTATTCAGTATTTTAGTGTTCTTATCCGGACGCAAGTGGATTTTCCACTCTTTCTGGGAGCCGGAAGATAGATATGAAGTGACACCACAAGTATAATACTACTATAAAACTAGGTAGTATAATAATGTTGCACACATGGAACCAAAAGGGATTTCCAGGCGTGCATAAGTTTAAAAAACAAAACGATTTTTACTTCAGTTATTCTATTACATGAGCACCAGCACTTTACATCACGAGTCTGCATGCACTCCTCTCGTCCAATCTGCGATCCCTTCACCTTCGCACGTTTCACCTGATGGACCCGCCGAGTTGCCCCCCCCCCCCCCCCCCCCCCCGTGCCTAGGGATGGGTACCGAGCTCCGGTATTAAACTATGGAAAGCCTAATGTGCCATATAACGCATACATAGTCTCGCGCGAATATACGGGGAGGTCCGTTTTTTCGCGCGAAAAAACGCGCGAATATACGGACCTCCCCGTATGTTCGCGCGAATTTTCGCGCGGTTTTTAATATGATAATGAGCCCCTCCTTCTGATTTCATTAGCCAATGAGTTCAAAGTGTCTTCAACCAATCAGTGAGGGGTAAAGCCAGACCAAAGCAATCTGTAGATTAAAAGTTCCTGACATTGTGAGGCTGTGCTGTAAATTGTACATTATTCCAGATGCAGGGGACTAAGTATTAATTTGCCTTTGTATATAATAAATATATCACCTTACACCTTATCACCTTGTCAAAATGTTCAGTACAGTCTCTGGTCTTGCTAGAAATGCAAAGTCACTCACCTTAGAGCACTGTTTTTTTGAGATACTTAGCTTAGAAATCCGATTTTTGGAAAACTTCAAAACTGTTGTGAAACACAGATTTACTCATGTCCTCCTTTTATTTTGGTGTTTCAGATTTGGTTCACCAAAGTCTTTGGTTCACAAAAGTAGTGAAATATATGAATTACACTATAGGCCTACATAAATGTGTTATTCATGTCTAAAATGAAAATGTGTAAATTAGAATTTGGAGTAAGTAAAATTGTTCTATCACTCTACTTTCACCACAGAAAAGTTACATCAGGACTGATTCATGACTTCATATTCCATACTGAGGTTCATGTGATGTGTACAAATACAAATTGAGCATTACAACTTTTTTTTCAACCAACTATTTATGTTAACATAAGAAACTGTAAAATTTCAATATTTACAATATCAGAACTTTTTCAACCAACTATTCATTATACATGTAAAGACAGGGGGAGCAGTGTCATGGTCTTTGTCCGTCTTCCAAGACAGTGGGGCTGGCTGCTGTGTAGGTGGGGGTGATGGTGCATGGGCTGCTGGTGGCTGTGTCGGAGGGAGGTAGGTGGGATTGTCCCGGGTTGATGCTGGTGGCTGTGTGGGAGGTACGTGTGCTAGGCGAGACTTCTTTGCTGGCTGGGTTGATCGTGATGGCTGTGGTGGAGGCCTTTGTACCGAGGTGTATCTTAATCTTATGGCAGGCACAGATGGAGGTGGAGGCTGCTGTAGTGATGCTGGTCCTCTGGTCCTTGGTGGTGATGGCTGTGGTGGAGGTCTTTGAGCCACGGTAGATCTTGACCTGGGGGCCGGCACAGATGAAGGTTCTGGCTGCTGGATAAACACCGCCTGTGGGCCACTGCCCAGGCAGCTGTGACATCTGAAAAAAAACATACCTTTACATTTAGCAAATCAAAATAACTGTATGACGTATTTGTCTCTAATAAAAAATGGAAATAAATTCACATGCCATATTATGACTTTTATGAAGGATTAAAGCCTTCTTAATTTACAGTATATAATACAGTGATAACACACACAACCCGATTGACTGTACTCCCTTTAACCTGGCTCTGTTATACACTGATAGGCACAATATTAGCATAGAATTAGCGCTATTAGCATTTCAATACTATGAACAATTATGAACTCAGACCAGCATTACACATATTTATACAAGCAGAATACACTTGAAATGTAAGCCAAACTAGTGCACGGGAGTCATACACCTAGTAACATAGTGGTTTTAGCCCTACATTATTCAGGGAGCGATAGCCTGTGCTAAAGAAGCTAGCGGACGCCATTCGCCACTGAAGTGGAGCCGAACTAGCTCACAGAATGACATTAAACTACACATAAAGAACAGTTTCAAACACACTTCTTAGATCGAAATATGACATCATCTTTGTACACACTACTAACCTGTTGAACAGGAGATATGAATGAAGCAGAGGGAACGTTGCTGCCTTTCTAGCCAGAATGCCAAGTCTGCGGCAGACACATAATAACAACACTTACTTTACGGCGCACTGAGGCCTTTCCGTGTCCTATACTGCCCTCTGCTGTTTGTAATGATATACACTATTTAACATAAACATGCCTTGGAGAGTATAACTTAATTTATACAAGACAATTTACATTGAAAATGTAACCACATATTTATGCGGTTATCTGAATCATATTTCTAGCCCTTATATTCGATAATATATGATTAAATACGTAAAATATGCGCACTTCGACGCTGCACTGCGTGGGTGTAGGCTACTCCAGAGTTATATCTTTCAAACTAAAATGACTACAATCTGCTTGTAGAGTAATGTTCGTGTGGGTCAGACATCCGAGTTGGCCGGGTTCGAGTCTCGGAGTGGAATTTTTTTCTCTCCAGCTTTTTTTATTATCTGTTTTCGGTCACTTATAATCTTTGTATTTAATGGGAGGCTGTGGCTCAGTGGATAGTGTGCTGAACTTCGAATCAGGTGATAGCCAGTTCGAATCCCACTGCAGTCAGCATGTCGTTGTGTCCCTGGGCAAGACACTTCACCCCAAATTGCTCCTGTGGGGATTGTCCACTGTACTGAATGTATGTAAGTCGCTTTGGATAAAAGCGTCCAACAAATGACATGGAATGTAATGCAAGTTATTGCAAGGTCTGCTTCACCTTAATTGTCCCCACTGCTTGGTGGCAACAGCTGTCTGTTCTCCAGTTTTTTAAGGTGGTAGCCTGTCTTCTGTGTTCATGTTTCACAGGAAAGAAATGGGAATGTATCAGCCTCAGATGTTGCTCCAGCTGAAAACTATATCCAACCATATCAAATTAATAGTACCACAAAGTGGTTCTGAGACTTATTCAGAAATGTATACAAAGGGTCATCGCAAACACTGCAGCATTTTCTGCTTCTATTTCATTGCATGCTTCAGAATAGTATTATATATTGATATATAGTGCTTGTGAAGGAAGAGGGGACACATATATAAATATATATATGAAAACAAGAGGGACATAATATCACAAAACAATTAATGATGATGATTATGTCAGCCATATGTATAATAGTGTTAATATCTATGAGATTTAAAGTAATAATAATAATAATAATTCCCTTTAAAAGCACTAATAACAATAAAATAATGGCAAAAATAGCAATTCGATATATAGTACAAATCAATCATTGTCATGTGAAGCAAGGAGTGGTTGGACCCAAATGCAGAGACTGGAGACAGCAGAAAACTTAACAAAAATGTATATTTAACAGGCAGAACAGGAACTCAAGTAACATCAATCAACACGGAAAAAACAGAACTTCATGACATAGACAAACAAGGAACCGACAAGAACAGGACAGAAAACCAGGACTTATATACAAACAGGGTGACGAGGGGATGAAGTACAAGTGGAGCTAGGAACAGGTTAAACTAATCAGGGTGGGGGAGACAATTAAAACTGGAGGGAAAACAGACAGAGCAGGAAGTGAACACAGAGAAGACAGAAGGAGAATACTTTAAAACAGGAAACAGAAAACAAAAAAAGCATAATACTCATTTTGTAGCTAAGCTACACCAAATTGCCCACCCCAGCTTATGCCATTTTCCATCCGATCTTTAAAAAGTTGGAATGTTGTGCAAATTGGCAGCCTCAGGATCAGTCCACAGGTGTTGGCCGTGGGGAAACCTGCTGGCCCGTCCTCCGGGTGGAGGAAATTGAGTTTGGGCTGGGTTGGAAACCCTACAGCAGGGATTTTCCGGAGGCCGGTGGCAAAGGCCAACACATCTCCGACATTCAGTATGCTTTCTCCATCTGTGGAGAAAGTTTGAGATCATTTTTAGGTCTACATAATGTTAAGAGCATTAAAGGTATTTTTTGTGTTTAAGAGATGAGTATGATAATATTGCAGATTTGACTAGACAGTATACCAGTGGTTCTGAAATGGGGGTACGCTTATGTCTAGGGAAACTGGAAATCATGAAATGTGATTTTGTAAAAGTGGTATTTTTCATTGATCCCCCAAACGGATTACATTTTCATCCAGCAGCTCCTGAAAGTGCTCTAATCCCTACAAATAATTGGAATACTTCAGGAAAATAACAAAAAACTGTGTCTTTGGGCCAAAAATGTTTATGATACACTGGACAAGATAACTGAAGTGTGTTTTGGTATTGGTCCAACTCATGGGAAAATAAGATACTGAAAGCTGGTCATGTCTTGCAATATTGTATGTATTTCATTACTTTACCATATGTACAGTACATTTAAAAAAAAAAAAAGTAAGTAAGTGGCCTGGATAGTAAATCACCTTGAAATAATAATGAAATATCAGAATGCTAGAACGTCCATGACACAGAGTTCTGCTCCATTTTATTGTTTATCTTTCCTGTGGTTGGCGTCCTGGTTGCTGAGCAACTATCTTTGTCTCTATCAAAGAAACTGCGCTAGCTGTTTGTATATGCTTATTTGTTTACCAATGTAGCACTTTTGGAGATAATAAGGAGCCTTTAGAATTTCTGAAATGAATGAACGGATGAAAAGAAACACGATGTGTCCTTGGAGATGCTTCAGAGTCCATACCGAGTAAAAAGAGGTGGTCAATTTCATCGGAGACTACGGATCCAGATGTTCAAGGTGCCCTGCTCTATAGCGTGGTCTATAAATATATGGTGTAATATAATATGTAATATAATATAATATGTAATATATGGTGGTTAAAGTCCGTAGGTTTTGGTGTGCAACACTCCATGTCATTTTCACTTTACATTCAGAAAACGTATTATTATTAGCCACATGCTAACTGCTAACTGCTGACTGGATATGAAGGATTTTCAGAATAAAAGCTTGGCATTGAGATTTCCTGAGAACTTCCGGTTTTTTTCACAATAAAACCGCTTTTAAACTGACGATATGTTTTAGACTAAATTATGCTATTAAACATTGATTTTAATTTCTAACACAACCCTGAAGACAGAGACGCCCTCTCTGGCACCCTTTCAATGTCCTCATTCACACGTTTGATGATACGTGGTGTGTACTACAGATGGCCAGACTGCCCTCGATGGGGGAGGGGGAATAGCGTCTCCTCTACTGTGGCAGGATATAAAGTTGGAATTTGGAGTACAGTTTTAAGAGGACAACTCGAGACTCAGAGCGTCTCACCAGAATGTTCTAATTAATAGCTGGCAACTACAGATTAAAAAGGTTTTTATATTGGCATTACCAATATTTCAAACAAATAATTACTTTGAAATGTATTGGCCACTTAGTACTCAACAATACTATCACTGGTTTATCAACGAAAGCCTATGCTAAAGTGAACAATTATCACATCGACCGACCTTGTTGTGCGGGTGTGGTAGGCCAAGATCTCCGGACTTCAAGTATATATTCCCGAAGGTCCTGAAGTAAAATATCAGCTGTAGGGACGTTAATTAGCCTGCCCCGTGACCACTCGAGGCTCCTTTCCATGGTTTCTAACCTGCCAGTAAACAGTTTGGTGAAATAGGGGAGAAGACAGAATTTGTAAGTGTGAAAGATCTCACACAACCTCAGTTTAGGTTACATGCAAAAACAAACTACATTCCTTTGTGTTGGTACTGGTAGTAGCGATAGGCTTGGCCCTTACCTCGTTACTGTGGATTGTAACACAGCATGACCGGCATCATCTGTTTGGAGAAGTCTTGTGCAGTCATTTATTGTCCTTTTGCAACGCAAGATGAAGTTTCTCGTGGACATTTTTCCGGCTTCTGAATCTGCTTCTGAATCTGCTTCTTCTTCGATGATACTGCCATCCGTATGTCTTACCTTTATATACAGTCTATGGTCTTACCTTAAACTGCCCCGCCCATTTGTTTAGCTTCCGGTTCGAACACATGTTCTTCTTGTTCTTCTTCTTTGGTGTTTATTGGCGGTTGACGTTGAATAAACAGAAGGCTGCTTTTGTGGAGGAAGTTACAGCGCTACGTACATGCTCGGCATATGTACTGCAGCTTTTTCCAGCGGTATCCATAAATCTCTTAATTTTGCCCTCAAAGTGCACCAGATTGATGCATTTAACTTCAATATAAAGAAAAACATCTTCTGTTGTAACAACAATAACATTATAAATAGTAACATAGCTGAACATGGTATTGCACATTTAGCTTTCAGTGTTACTGACCTGAGATGTTTTTATTACATGAATTAAGGTGACTGAGGCTTTTTAACATAGACTTGGGAAATGCAGATTGTCTGAGACAACTTGGCACTAAGAGTACTGATATGTCTACCATTTCTTTTCTGAGTGTAATATCTGCATTTTCTCTGACCCAGACAAAACTGACCCAAGATACCTGTACATAGTGGAAAGTGAAATTGACATTGTCAAATTTAATAAAAATACAAAATAATGTATCTGTGTACATGTTTTACTGTACTGTGATCTGCATGCACTTATCAAACATTTAATTAAAGAATGGTGATATACACAGTATATGCTGTGATGCAGCGGGAGGAGGAAAACACACACTTCAAGTCAGATCATCACCCTTAGCTATTTTAATTACCTCTCAAACTACCTAAACTAGTTATAAATGTTTATTGATATGTCTACCATTTCTTTTATGAGGGTAATATCTGCCTTTTCTCTTTTGGTTTGAATTGGAGAAGGGCAATGGTTATCGATGGTGCTTTTAAAGCCTATTGTATACTAACTGTGTGATTTATATTGCTTTTCAAATGCATATAGGCCACCCATTTACACTGCTCTTCCCGTCAAGAATATGAATAGAACTTAGTTAGATCACTTTACATTTCTGCGAATGAATTTTTAATCACAGACGTCTCCCCGTCCCGAAAATAATAAATAAAATAAAAAGAGGAAACAATTTTCAAGTTCAGTTTTCATCGTTTTATTTAAAACAACTGACATAACTGACATAACTGACACCATAGGCCTATCTGCTGCGGAAACCAGGACGAGCTATAAAAAGATAAAATAAAGATAAAAATGTTCCTCTCGCTCTGAGGAAACTGCCCTGGTGGGTTCATCAGGTGTGGCCGCCGACCCTGGAGTGACCACTGGCACTGGAATGA